GTTTTGTTTTGTTTTCTGTCTATTCATTTAAATTCCTTATAGATTCTGGATTATTAGTCCTTTGTTGGATGCATAGTTTGCAAATATTTTCTCCCATCCCGTAGGTTGTCTATTTACTCTGTTGGTGGTTTCTTTTGCTATGCAATAGCTCTCTAGTTTAATTAGGTCCCATTTGTAAACTTTTGTTTTTCCTGCATTTGTTTTTGAGGACTTGGTCATAAATTCATTGCCTAGGCTGATGTCCAGAAGGGTGTTTAGGGTTTTGTATTTTTTTAATTGCAAAAAATGTTAGCACAATGCCTAGCATATCAAAAGCACTTTATTAGCATTACTTCCACTCCATTTCATCTAAAACCACTGAAAACAATTATTGTCCCTACCATGTCACCCAAAACTACTTTTGTCAAGATCACAAATGATCTATTCTCAGACTTCAATTTACCTGACTTCTCAGCTGATCACTCCCTCCTTGAAATACTGACTTCACTTGGTCTTACACTCCACTCTTTCTACCTGTCCTCTAACTTTCTGAATGATATTTTCCAGTCTCCTTTGACTTGGTTGTCTTAAAATAGTGCTACTCAGAGTTGTTTTACATAAGCTCCTTATCTCATTGGTCACAGACGGATCACACACTAGAGCCAGTCCACATGTGTATCACTGGCCTAACAGACATTTCAAACTCACTATGTCCAAAACAAAACACTTGATTTCCCCCACAAAATATACTACCCCCTAAGGCTTCCCATCCTTCCAGGGGTTTAAAGTAAAAACCCTGATGACATTATTGATTCCTCTTGCTCTCACACCCTATCCCCAGTTCATCAGCAAATCCTGTTAGTTCTACCTTCGAAACAAAACCAGAACTGGATCAATTCTTACCACCTCCTCCTCAACTAAAAAGCCACCATCACTTTGCTTTTAGATCACTGCAACAGTCTATCTTGTCTCCAAGCTTCCACCATTGCCACCGTACAGTCTGTTCCCAACCCAGTATCCAGTGATCCTTTGAAAATTTAAGCCAGATTGTAGTATGCCTCACTGAAAACCCTCCTGTAGCTCCCAATCTCATGCAGAGTAAAAATAAGAATCCACAGTGGCCTATGAGAACCTACATATCTTCTGGTGCCACGTTACTCCCTCCCTCTTTACATCGCCCCAGCCATACTGGCCTCCCTGCTTTTTCTCATACACTCCAGGCATGCTCTTTCTCGGAGCCTATACTCTGTCTGTTCCCCAATGCCTGGAATTCTCTTCCCCCAGATATTTGTGTGCCAACTCCCTCACTTGCTGCACGTTTTTGCTCAAATGACACCTTCTCCATGAGGTCTAATCACTCCAATAAGAATGTAAACACCAGTTTTGCAATATATACTATATTATTATGGTCACCTCATCACTCCAGCGTCTGATAACCACCAAAATTGCCAAAAGAACAGATTTTTTAAACATTCTAATCACACACAGGAAATGATTAAGCAGGTGAGATGACAGATTTGCCAGACCGATTTAATCTTTCTACAATGAATACATATGTTAAAACATCACATTATGCCCCAGAATTATATACAATTACCATTTTCAAAAAATTTTTCCTCCGTATAGTTATCATTTTTCAATTAAAAAAATCAACAGCATTCCCAGTCCCAGGCACTCTCTGTGCCCCTTTCCCTACTCTACATGTTTTTCTCAGATAGAACCATATGATCTACAGTTGTTATTATGTCCAGCGTCTGTCTTGTCCAACTACTCAAATCCCTAGGCTTCTTTTCAGAGAAGTGTGTGTGTGTTTTCCCCTCTGTTGCCCTGTCCTTCTACTTTTTCTACTGTTCTGTCTCCATTGTCCATGCATGTTTCTTCTCCTAGCTCTCATATATAAAGTTTTCTCTTCTCTTTTCTATGCACACCTCTCTCTGTACAATCACACCCCTCTTGGGTCTATTATCACTCAACATGAAGACTCTTAAATGTACCTCACTGGGGCTGACCTCACTTCTGAATCTCTCAGTACCTCCTGAGATTTCCAACATCATGCCAGTCACGCCTTCTCAAATTTTCCACCTTCATTGCCAATTTACCTATTCTAGAATGGTTTTTAAAACAGAATTCATCACTTTCCCCACCAGACCCCAAACAATCTCCTTCACTTGTATTTCTTCTTCCTCCCA